GAACAAGCACCAGCGATCCAACAGCTAACGAAGGTTTTTCCACAACTGCGAGAGCAACTGGAAACAGCGGCGTTTAAAATGTTAGGTTGGGACGATGGTGACGAGCACGAGCACGTCACATATGAAACTGCGCGAATGACACTTGCGTACAACGACGCACTCTGCATCTGCCAAGGGCTGATAACGCCATCAGGCGCGGAAAAATTAATTTCAGGTTTGCGATATCTCTACAATGCCGCGATTGAAAGCCGACTTGAGGATATAAAACCGATAGCGCGACGAACAGAATCGCGCAGCAGCATGAAACGAAGCGGCGCGTGCAAAACATCATCAGTATAACGAAGGGATGCCTGTGAAGATTCATCGGTGGCCAGGAGCACATCACAACCGATCACAGCAGGAACGAGCTCGATAGCCGAATATTTGAAGACGAGTGATGCGCGAATGGTAATACGAACATGGCGAGTGGCCGTGATAAGCATGTGAAAAACTTTTTTTTGAAGTTTGTTCGCTTTTTGTGAGTTTTTGTTGCATTGCTATAGCCAGCAAAAACGCATACTATCGAGAGACTGTCTGTGTGTATGTGTTCGGAAAGCGAGTGCATTTTGTCACCCACTTTCATCTCAGCATCCAGGAAATCTGGGAGGCTGGAACTTTGAATATATGTTCCTACCCCGTGTGTCATCGTTACATTTTAAGATCTTTCGCCGTGCACGCCTAAATCCCGCGTACGGGACTCCGAAAGAAATATGTTGGCTGGAAACGATTTCGCAAACCAAGCGACGTAGAAAGCTGAAACTTTGCAGGGATATTCTATATGCGCATACGAGCTAAAGGTTTTAAACTCAGCTGTCGAGCCCTCCAACCACAGCTCCTCAACCCAAAAATCGTTCGCAACTCCGACCTGAACCGCAACCGTATACGCAGATGAACATGGATTTTTTGAAAAATAACCGCTCAAGCAATACTTCCAATTTTTAATGAACTAGAAATTTGCATTTTTTCAAAAAAGTCGTTCCCAGCTCGGACCTTAAGCGCGACCGTATATGTAAATGAACGCGGATTTTTTGAGAAACGAGCAATACTTTCACATTTTAGTGAACTGGAAATTTGCATTTGTTCAAAAAATCTGCATCTGACATTTTTCCACAAAGCGAGCATTTACCGAAACCCAGGCTGGAGTGCACCAGGCGAGCCGGTGCGATCACGCGTTTTTGCACAAAACTTGAGTTGGGTTAACTGCATGAACGGTTGTTTCTTCACACCTACATTGTGTGCTTAATGCATCGTAAATTTTGCAAAACATCGTAAATTTTGCATAAAAAGAAATAAACTATTTCCGTGTAACGATGTTTTTTGAAAGCAACCCAACTGTTCAATGAGTAATTTTCCT